TCCATATGTTTCTGAGGTCATATTTAATGATTCAAGACATCGAATATGTTTCTGTATATAATTGAATAACTTACGGAAATTTTGAATGTCATTAGAATCCTTTAGAGGTCTTATTTTCAGTAATTTATCTATATGGGCGTTGATCAGTACATCTTTATTTCCAAATCTTTCTGTGAGGAGTTTAACTGAAGTTTCGTAATTTTCTTCGGTTAAATCGAAACCGTCAATGGTGTTATAAGCAGTGCCTCCCAAAAAGGATTTCAAATAATTAAATTTGCTTATAGCGTCAAGCGTTTTATTTTGGTGTATGGCTGATGAAAAAGTGTTCCAAAATGTCAGCCATTCGCAGCTCTCGCCATAAAACTTCGGAATCCTAAGTTTAGGAAGCTTCACATTATGACTTTCAATTTTAACGTTTTCTATAATACCTTTCACTTAACTGTTCAGTGCTTCTTAACACATAAATTTTGTTGTTCTATATTAATTTCTTTCAATTTTTTGTTAGCTTTGTATTTAAATGTAGTTATTCTTTCACGATATTCGTCAACACCGTTTAATTCCTGGTCTAGATCCTTTATGTTATTAATTTTTCTATATCGGCATCTATTTGTTTTAACTCGTTCGATTTTTCATTTAAGAGTTCTAAGAAATTTCTAGTTCCTCTGCATTCACTTCTGTTTTTGGTAATTCAGTTTCGATTCGGCCAATTAATTTTGTAACGGCAGCCCTTATGTGGCCGCGTTTCCTTTTCAATGTATCGATGAATTCCGTCATTATTTAATATTCAATAATTCAACAAGTATCAGCAATCCACTAATTATTTATGCTTATATATTATCTATATAACTGGTATCAATTTAGACAGATTCAATAGTTAGGAAAAAAGCAGTTACTGGCAGTCCCTGTTCGGGCGCCATGTTAAAAAATTTTGTCAACTTTGTACTATTAAAATTTTTTGATCATTAAATAGATAAGTGAAAGTTCACTTACCTTCTAAATAGGGGCTGCCCTGAACTGCCTGCTTTTCCTTCTTGTCGGTATCCATGTCTCTATGATGAACTTCGATTCACTGCGAAACACAGCTATAAACTTTTTAAGAAATTTTAATTCATATGAAAGATATCTACAAAATATTTACAAGTTATAATGATTACAAGCATAATTTATACGGAGACGGTCTATCGTTATACATCTGTTAGACGCGTCAGCCGTTCACCGACTACTTTTAGTCTCTTTCGCCAGAGGGCGTCCGTGGAAGTAAAGTTCTAGTAAACAAACGCGACAGTTACATTGTTGAAGTCATGTAACTGCTGTTTCGAGAATTCTGACTACTCAATCAAAATTTTCTCATTTTCAGTAACTTCTGTCACTTTCTTCACTATCGGTTGCAGTATTTTCTGGATCTATATCTATACTACAATTTCACCATTCATTAATTGATTGATGATTGAGAGGTATTGTAATCAACGAAAAACTTTTTATATCATCTTAATTTATTACTGCTTTCCCACATTTCTTTACAAAATCCGTTAATTGAAACATTTTACCTTTGTTTTGCGATACATATTTGCTATGCATCATAAACTAACAAAAGTTATTCCGTTCCTGCACATGCTTAAGGCTTATCAGAGTTTTGAATAAATAAATTCCACATACACTTTTAAGCCTTACTGAAAGCAGGCGCTAGATATCTTACCGCTCGATGCAATCTCTGTGGGACCTAAATTCTGCGACTCAGTGCCATTCTTTGCCGATGCAGGCATACGAGCCCTGGGCACTGGTCCTGAGTTTATCCAAATAAACAAATCAGTTATTCTTAATTCAAAGAGCCCTAAATGTAACCTTTGGGTCTATGAGTATCATCAATAAAATCAATTTTTAGCATATGGAAAGAAATTTTTAGTTAATTTTCCCTCAACATTTTTTAGTGTATTTAACTTAAATCTGGAATCATTGCCAAGCGTAATGTCAACATAAAATGTTACCATACTTTATTATTCAATTATTGACATAAAAAAAATTATTTAGGCAGCACTTACACTCAAGTTGTAATGTTCTGATAAACAAGGAAAGTATAATAATGATTCACCAAGTTGGCATCAAATCAACCATGTACGTATGTGGAATGTTTCGGTGTGGGCCAAAAAGCAGGTACACAGCAATGGAGCCAAATTACTGATTGCACAAATTTCTGCTAAAATGTTTGTTTATTCAATAACAAAGCATTTTATTTAGTGTCAATGTTTGTTTATTCAATAACAAAACATTTTATTTAGTGTCGAAGTAAAATTCAGAATTGGGACTCTCCAGATGTTTCATTATGCGCGGAGGGAGAATCAAACACGCATGCGTAAAGCCTATGAAAAAACGATAGTGGTTTTGAGGTCCAGATTTTAGATCATTCCGAATAATGGACGTCAGGATTTCGGACTGCATTACCTACTTTATGGCTAGCATTATGTTTGTGATGAAATTAGATTTTTGGATATCTTGGGCAGCCATCAGTAAGTTATGCAGAGAATCTGCATTGCTCACGAAAATATAACATTGATGCTTCCATGTCTTTCTCATTTGTTTATCTCAATTGTCTCTTCCTGGGCTATAATCAATTTGTTGATCATTCCCGTTATATACTAATTTCTTCAGTTTCTATATGCATTCCTCTTGTATTCTATGTTCCAATGGTTTTTACAAATAAATACCGATATTAATACAATTTTAAAATATGTCTCGGTTGGATTTATGTAAAATTTCTGTGAAGTCACTAAAAGGGAGAACTGTTTTGAACACACTGTTTAAAGCAATTACACTCGCTATATTTCCCACAGAACTAAGATGCAAAAATATGCTAAATAGGTTTTATTTGTTTGTGGATTACTCAAAATATAGTCTATAAATAAGTATATTTTGTTCATTTCTTCTATAAAATTTAATTTGTGCCAAGGTGACTCACATGCTTAATCACTAAGTGTTTTGTCTAACAAAAATTGTTCATTTGTAAGTAGGAAAATAGTATTAAAATTTACATTTGTATTATTTTTAAGCATTCAGAACACCAAATAAAATGGTTTCCCTAGAATGGTTCTTTTCTTCCTAAACCAGCACCTAACACAGAAGTTAAATTTATAGCTGTAGTATTTAAAAAAAAAAAAAAAAAAAAAAAAAATTACATTTACTTAAGCAAGATCTGATTTAGTTTGAAATTATAGTACACAGTAAAATACATGGGAAAAGTCAAGCTTTAGAAGATAAAAATTCACTATGTCATCAGAATAGAACAAAGACCTTTTAAAGGAACTAATAAGTGGACATTTACCATACCTCTATATGCTTTTAATATTACATACAGAAAAGGTAAACAGTAAAAATAACAGAGAAAGAAGACTGCAAATGAGATGTCCGAAATGGAGAGCGGCACCGTCGAAACAGATAAGATTTAAAGCATAAACTTAACAGATTTATAACAATCTCTCAGCTTCTAGTAATTTTGGTTTTTTTTTTTTGTTTTAAACTTTCTGATAACATAGAAACAGATCTCCAGCTGATTTCCTCTGCTTCAACTCTGAAAGTTTACGATTTTTCAAACTTATCTCGTAACATAATACATAGTCTTGAGTTACTAATAGTGGTCACACATATTATTCTTGGAAGTCATTTGGCATCAAAATCAGAAAAACTTACCATGCTTCTTTTACAGCAGGTTCCCATTTAGCTATGACCTTCAGTTTGATGACAAATTACTTTCTTGAGTCACAGCAGTTTGTTTTATGATTCTGAAATTTTATAACCACCGGACCTTATACTGAAAAATCTTTTTGTCCAGGTTACTTAAGAAACACTCCAAATTTTACAGTTTTTTCACTGCTTCACTTTCTTTCCATCTAATTTTTGCTTTTAGTTACTGTTTAAATTTTCCTTCAAATACAGTTGATGTACCATTTTACTGGATCTCTTTCACTACAACGTTCAATCAGGCCAATGTATACAACCATTTTCCCCATAACCCACGGAAGAGTGAGAACCAATCAATTTCTACCATCAAAGAAAAATTCAAATTAAATATGTACATAGTTTAGTTGACACTTCTTTTCCTATAACTCATATCTGAAATTTGAACTTTTCTTACTTTTATATGCTTTTCAAACTGATGACTCGCAGCTATTTTGAAAAATCAGACACCTTTTTAATGCAGCCTGACCACATTTTACCTATCGTTCTAAACTGAGCCACTGTCAGACAGATAGAATCACTCTTACATGTTCTTTCTGCAGTAATTACTTTAAATGGTATTAAATTATTGCAAGTGGAACTCGTGGTAAATTTTTTCGTACCAAAAACTGTTACCCAAGTCACTTCATGGTACAGCCCACAAACATCCACTATTAACTCAAGCCAAATAGCTTAAAATTTCAAGGACTGCAGTTCTGATAACAATGAATTGCAATCAGAGCAGCACCTTTCACATGTTTCATCTTAAGAGCTCTGGCAGTTAGAGGCACTTTTATCAGAGATATTTATTTCATTGCACAGTTGCATTAAAATTAAACACTCAAAAACAAATTTGACTAGATAAAGGAAGGGAAAAAAAAAAAAAAAGATTTATTAAAAAATAATTGTGTACTTATTTTTTAGAAGTTTTTATTTGCTTAGTTCAAATCTGTTTTGAAATCTTTAAATCAGACTACAAGGATCACAATCTGGATACGTAAGGAAATGCTGTATTTTATATTAAGTAACTTAGCTGGCAGAATTATGCAGACAAATTCTGTAACACAAAATGTCAAATTTTACGCTAGAATTCTTGGTTACACCGAAATTAATTTTTTAATTAGTAACTTCATTCTAAATCAAATATATGCACCTAGTTATTGCTCATTATTCATAGATGTACTGAAAATATCTGAATTATAATTATAAAAATGTAGTTCATTTTTCAGTTATAATAAATATTAAATGTAGAAGTATATCAGAAGCTCCTCAAGCTATCAGAAGTAATATCAAACCTTTAAAAAAGGACATTTTATTAATCAAACTTAAACTCCACTATTACAATGATTGCTTTAAAAAACATCAACCTTAACTTCCTTAAACAAAAGTTTATATGACAGATAAAAATACATTTCTGATTGCAATACCACATTTTAACTGAAATTTGATAAAAAAAACCCGTACATTAGAAATTGCTGAAAAAGCAAACTAAGAACTTAACTAAAATATGAAATAATGAAACAATGCAAAGTGCTGATAAAAAAATTTGCTCAATTTTTAAAAAACATGCAAAAGAATTTATTTTGCAGAGAAGGAAATATAGCAAATATATTCCAGCATTATCTTATTTAAAATAGTATTTTTACTAACACAGGTTTCTTTACCTTAGACCTAAAAATTTTAAACGAATATGAAACTATGGACCAAAATTTAAAATGTATAAAAAATAGTTCTGAAGTTTGCTTCCAGCAGACTATATCTGCATATGAATGTTTTGAAATACAGCAATTTCGTATATGCTTCAAACTCACTTCTAGATTATAAAACAGTGTACAGTACAGCTCAGTCAGTAGGGAAAAAATATATCAATTTCCAAATTAAAAACAAATTTTGGGGGAAAAAACTGACAACTGACTGAGTTGCAGACTGAATGTTACACAGGGGGCAGGAAAGCAACAGTTGCTTTAGAAATAAATTAGCTATAATTACAAACATTAATTCAGCTGCTACAGAAGTTCTATTGCACAGATGGGGGGAAAATGTAACAAAAGTACAAAACACAATTCAAATTATTTATTACTGAAGAACACATTTGTGAAAAATTTGCTGTCAATTAACCATATAACAAACAGCTCCTTCAATTACATTAAAATAAAATTTAGCACCCAGAATGGTATTTTTACACATACATGAATTAGATCAGTTTTAAATTGAGAGAATTTCAAAAATTCCTGCACGCATTACAAGGCTTTCATGTAGTAACATTTAGTTGAACATACACTTAGAAACATGAAATTGTGACAAAGTGCCATTAACACTAAATGTCCAAGCAATTTTCTTAAAAAATATCAGTTGTATGTCAGCAGTTTGAATTTTAAATTTATGTTGTTATATATATATTTTGAATTAAATGTTAAAGCTGTTTCCTAGAACACTATTCCCAAAATTTTCATCATATAATTCTATAAATTTCTGAACTGAAGCATTGTGAGAATTGAAGGGAATGCTTTATTTTTTGTTTTAAACACAGAAGCAAGATAGGAAAAAAATGCTCCCCAGTAACAATTTTCATATTTATTTTTCATTTAACTGGCATTCTTGCAAGCAACAATAGCTTCTTCACCAACAGCTGAAAGTACTGTAACCTAAAGGGGGGGGAAAATGTAAAATGTCAAAAATGCACACACACACACAAAAAAAAAGGTATAAAAAATTACAAAATTAGTCTTCCAGAATGAAAGATGGCAAGTGTTTGCCAAGGTTCATCACAGTAATATTATTTTAATACAAATAGCACATAAAGACAATAAATGTAAGCAGCAGTGTGTGGTTTACATTGCATAAATATCCGTGTACATAATAATTCCTTTTCTGCAATTTGCCTATATTAATTCATAAACATTTTCTGTATACAATTTCTTTAATAAAAATGAAGTGTTTATGCTACCCTCTTAAAAGATCACATGAACGAAATAAAAAACAAGGTACTGTTTTAATAAACTTATTTTCATATCAGTTCTGCAATTGACAGTCTTCATAAATCATTCCAAAAGTAGCTACAGAGAGAGAATCTCAAGTATATCTGGGGACATAATTGTAGTCTCCGTACTGATAGTGAGAAGAAAGAAAGTATTTAGCAAATAAAATTAACAGACTTGCAAATATATAAGTTTGTTTTAATTATTGCAGTACAGTATTGCAAGCCGGTTAACTGTGCTATAGTTGCCATTCTTTTGACCACGGCAATGCTATTGTAAGTTAAATACGCTCCTTATGCCCTAATTACTAAAAACCCAACACATAATGGACAACATTTTAAATTAATTTCTTTATTCCAGAGAAATTCTTAACAGAATTACATGATGACAAGTCACAAACAATTGAAATGTCTAATCAGGTGGATAAAAATCCATTTAAAAATACAGAAAAGACATCATTTAACCGTGATACGCAGACAACTGCATCCATCAATTTGAAATGATCCAAATTTATTAAAAAATCGGTTATCTGTTTTATTTTAACAAAACACTAGTGAATACTTCTCCCCCCCCCCGAAAACTGCCTAAAAAGTCTCTTGCAAAAGCATGCATCATTCTGCTTTCTTGTTCTTAAGGGGGAAAATTCCATCACTTATGTTGTTTCCAGATGATATTTAATTATACTTTTTTTTTTTTTACAGAAAACGTATTCAATTTCAAAAACACATGAATGCATTAGATTTTGAATGCCTTTATTATAAAGCCAAAGATTCTGGTGACTTCATCTCCTTTTCTAGTTTAGTTTATGAAACTGCTAAAGAAGTGCAGATTTAATTGCATTTTTTAAATGCTTAATATGCTAAATCTAAATTCATCATTTTGTCTTGCTATTCAAGATAACTTTTTAGTAGAAATATATACCTATAAAACTTTTCCTGTTTTCTCGTGTGTAACACATTGCACAAATATTATTTTTGTTGTACCTCTTAAAATCAGTAATCTCAAATCTAACATTCACACATCAAACTTTAATAAATTTGAAGAGCCACCACTTAAAAGTTTAAATAAAAATGAGTTACATTCTAATTTTCAGAAAAGTGTTTAGTCATTTAACATCATACATACTGTTTGATTAAGTGAAAAATTATTGCATGTCTCTATTATTTATATGTATATTTAATAATGCACCAGTAAAGGCACTTCTAGATTATATAAAGAATAAAAAAATGCATTTGTAACAAACAAATAAAAACTATTTAGTAATCTGTTTAGGTTTTCAAGAAGCTGCAGTTTTTAACAATTTACTTAGATCATGCACCACATAGTCTGAACTATGAATAGTGCACCCAACATCAGATATCAGACTAGACTGACATGGAAGCAGAACACACTTCCTCGCATTTTAACATGGTTTGAGCATTTATATTCTTTAGTATTTAGTACATAAAATCCATTTAAAAACATTGCAAATTACATTAAGCTTTATTTCATTTCCCATTATTAAAAAAAATATGTAATTTTTATTAATGAATTTTTTAATCAGCTAATTAAACTCATGATTTGAATAATTTTTAAAATCGACACCCTCACAGCAAGGAGCAATTTTTTAAAATTAAATTAAGCTTAACACAGGAAATTAAATACAAATAAGATGGCAGTAAATATTAGTCAAAATAATAAATAAAAATCAAATAGTTATATTACTTTATGCTGCAGGTTTCACAAATTCATATTTAATTATTTTGTAGAAGAAATAAATGTATTAGTAAAATGCAGTGGTATACCTTAGAATACATAATTAATCTATTTCAGATCCTTGAACTCATAACTAAACTGTATATATATACAAAACAAACTTTTCCCAGAAAAGAAAAATATATATTTCATTCTCGTAAAAAATCTTACTGTTAAAACATTGTTTGATACAAAAATAAAAATACTGTGTATGAATGAAATACCGAACATAAATATTTTTCTGTTAGCAACAACAAAAAGGCTCTAATATGTCTGAGCTTTGTGAATTAATTCCCTCCTCTTTGCAGCATTAGCCCACTTAATAGTTTGTTTTTCACAATCATAGATATGGTCTTTCTCAGCATACGGTACATGACAAAAACATGTCATCTTCATATTTTTTAACAATCTCTTTTTTTTCACCTCCATGGTGATGCAATCTTAACCATTTTCTTAACTGCTCGACTCTACATTAACTCTTAGAAGTTTCTTAAGTGAATTATGTGAAAATTCAGCTATAGATAAGTTATGTACCAAACAGTCATGCAGATTGATAATCATGAGCCTTTTGTTTCATAGCACTGTCTCGAAAGAGGTACACAAAGGTAATCCATGCAGTTGTGATTCATTGAATTGAATTTGAGTCATATTCCAAACAAAACTTTCGAGGTGCCACTATATTCGAATGCTAAAATTGGTAACAAAATGCACTTTTCCCAGCTAAAGATAATGAAGGAAAAAAAACTTTCATTAGGCACTAATTTTAAATGGAAGTTCTTTGTTATATAGATTACATTATATATTTATTATAAAGACTAAAATATTTAAGAGGCTGAAGCGTATTTATTATTAAATGCATTTTTAAAATTTTGTATTACAAAGTTTAATTTCTGTTAAGTCATGTTTAACATTCAATATAAAAATTCATTCATTTTTAATTTAGTAATTTGAATGTAAAATGTTAACGGATTTTAACTGATGGTTAGAATATATACATATATAATACACCCAAAATGGCATAAAATACTAAAAGCTATAAAATAAGAATTTGCTTACTATCACTGTGATATCTTCTTTACCAAATTCGTCTTTTATCTTTTGTCCCAATTCTCCCTCTGGGATTCTGAGATCATCACGGGTTTCTCCTTTGTCATTCATTAAAGTCACAAAGCCATCATCACTAATGTCAATGAGCTAAAATATAAAAACTATTAATACACAACAGAAAAAAATCATGTGTAACAAAAATTATCAATTAAGTCATTAAATCCATTCACTAAGCATGTAACACACCGTTCAAGTCCACCGACTAACTAAGAAAACAACATCCACTTCACAAAATTAATGTTTATTCATCAACATAATCATCATCAAGAGCTTTGCAATCATTTCAACGCTTTTCTATACCATGCTTGTAAAACTATTTGTCCTTGTCCACAAAATAAGCTTCAGTGGCAGCGATGAATTTCTCATTCGAGCCAAATCTTTTCCCCTGGAGCATCTTCTTCAGATCAGCAAGCAGCCAATAGTCACTAGGAGCTAGATCTGAGAAGTATGGTGGGTGGGGAAGCAGAGTGAAGCTCAACCCTTTCAATGCAACCAGTGTTTGCACGGGAGTCTTTTTTTACAATTTCATTCTTTATATGCCACAGTAACTCACTGTAATAAGCGCTAGTCAACGTAAATTATACCTTGCGCTTCCCAAAAATTGATGCCATAACTTTGCCAGCTGATTGTTGCGTTTTTGGACACTTCGGACGGCTTTCACCAGCTGCACGCCACTCGGCTGACTGCCGCTTCAACTCTGGAGTGAAATAATGGATCCACATTTCGACTACTGTCACATACCGACACAAGAAATCCTGTTTATTGCGAGTAAATGGTGACAAACAGCTCTGTGAATCGTTGTTGCCTTTGTTCCATTGTGAGCACACGTGGCACTGCTTTGGAAAACCACATTTTTCATGCCCAACTTTTCTTGTAAAATCGCACATAATACTCCTGTCTCCCTGTCTAATGGTTTTTGAGGGTGCTTGTCCCGAAATAAAAAACATTTCTTGTCATAGTCCCCAATCATAATGCTACGATATTAATGAACAAAAATAAGGGGAAGTGCAGAATCGCCCACTGCTTAGCATGTTTTTAAAAATTGCACTAACTCGGTATCCATGTGTACATCAACCTATTTTCACTTAAAAAAACATCCCAGATTTGCACAAAAATGGCATTGTGCACTCCTTTGACTTTATCCATGTACACTTCAACTTATTTTCACTTAAAAAGTCAAAGAAAATTGACAAAAATCCAATTCTTACTCTTCCAAAAAGTGCCAAACAAAGAAGTGGGCGATTCTGCACTTTAGCCCCCCCCCAAAAAAACCTACCACCACTTTTCAGACTACTGGAAGGAGTATATAACAGAAGAACTGAAACAATCTGGTTACATTCACTGCCAAGTGAACCACAAATACAAGTTCACTGTTCCTGAAAGAGGCTTGCATACACTGAATATAGAAAACAGAATGGTAAATTAATTAGAAACATCTTGCCATCACTTGAATCCTACCTCAATGAGGTTGTGTAGTAAAAAATAAACTTAAAATGAAAATATGCATGACCCATTTGAAGAGAAATTGCCTAAAAATTTCCTGTCCCAAAGTTAGCTTGTGGTTAATACCGCTGTTTTTTCCTTTACATTTGAGCGATTAACTAACAAAATTCTTTTCAAATAACGTAACTTTTTAATATTACTTATACTAACAAATAGTGATTTGGATATGACATAGAGCAGAAAAGTCCCCATCCTAAACTGGATTAATAATCATCGTTCTCAGGTATTAAAATTGTATGAGAAATTTACTAAAAAAGTTTAATTCTATAATGAAAAATTGTGCAAAAACTTCAATTTAATCATCTAAAATAGAAAACATAAGGAACAATAAGTTTGGAACTTACTTGAAAATCACAACGATTAACATTTGGTACATCTATATTATGTGTAGAGGGACATAAATCTTCATATTTCTTATTAGTAAAAATATCAAGTCCTACAAGATGCACCTAAAATAAAAATTATGGTTCAATGAAATACAATTAATTTTAAATGAAGTAACATTTTTCGAGAAATAATTTTTCCCTTAACTAAATATTTATTTACATACATAATGCATTTTCTATGTTGTACAGTACAAAATCCGTAATCTGGACTTCGGAGATTCCGGATTATAGATCAATTTAAATCTGGTAAGATGGCATGCAGAAATTATATAATTAAAAATATGAAACCGTAATTTATGAAATAAAGGAATTGTGATCTAAAGGGTATCAAAATTTACAAAAAAAAAAAAAAAAAAAAACAAGCTTAATATTTATTTGTTTAATTTATTACACATTTCTTTCAATGTAAGTTTAGTTGCTTCGTTTTTTTGTGCTAATAGTTTCTCTTTAATTCTCTCTTCTATAAACAGACATAATTTATTGTTCAGTTACTAAGTTCCACTGTTCAAATCCTGTAATTGCTGTGTCGAGAATACTGACTAACTTGTCAATCGAAATTTTTTCGTTTTCAATAACCTCTCTGACACTTTCTTCACTACCGGAAGCGCGCATGCGTAAGTTAGTGGCTTTGAGGTCCGGATTATAGATCATTCCGGATAATGGATGTCCGGATTACGGACTTTGTACTGTACTTAAGTATTAACGCAACAACCTTTGCGCAATTTTTTTACAGATAAAAAGATAAGTTACTTATGCACAAGTTGGTAATTTTTATGCCTTTTCTACGAAAGATTCCAAAATTACTGATGCTTATTGCAAGTCGGTATACATTAACATATACAAAGAAAACACACTTTAGTACCTTTAAATATAAAATTTATTAAATAAGGATTATGTGATACATTAAAAAGTAAGCGTAAGAAGTGGAATGTGTTATGTGCATGGTTGCCAGAGTTTGGTAGAATATGAAAATCTGATCATTTTGACTATGGTAACATTAATACATAAGCACATATATGTTAAAAGAAAATTTTATACCTGTTATATATCTTAGTTTCAATTAAAATAATTTATGAACATGAAAGCTAACAGAATAAATTTTAAAAATCGAGAAAGGATAAGAGAATAGATTAATATAAAAATACATGATGATTCTATTAACTCAAGTCTGATAAAACAAGAGATGGATAGTATTTTCACCCATTGTTTAATACACCCTGTTAATTAAATTTTTTAACAAAGTTAAAGTACAGTTGTATTTTTAAACAATTTTTAATTCCCATTTTAGTCATAATGATATAAAGATTCATTCTATCAACTTTACTTTTATTATGCACTGATAGATACAGCAGTACCTCCGTTTCTATAACCTAACACATCGTTCAATAAGTCCCAAGACTAAGAAAACAACATTCATTTCACAAAATTCACGTTTATTCACCAACATAAGAGATATGCAATCACTTCAACGCTTTTCTATACCATGCTTTTAAAACTATTTGTCCTTGTCCACAAAATAAGCTTCAGTGGCAGTGATGACTTTCTCATTCGAGCCAAATCTTTTTCCCTGGAGCATCTTTTTCAGATCAGCAAACAGTCAGTAGTTGCTAGAGGCTAGATCTGGAAGTATGGTGGGTGGGAAAGCAGAGTGAAGTCCAACTTGTTCAATGTAACCAATGTTTGCATTGACTTGATGTAAGATGATCTTCATGTGCGGTCTTTTTTTACGATTTCGTTCTTCAGATGCCACAGTAACTTACTGTAATAGGCGATATTGATAGATTTTCCCTTTTCAAGGTAGTCAATTTATACCTCGCGCATCCGAAAACATCGATGCCATGACTTTGCCAACTGCCGCTTTGACTCCAGAGTGAAATAATGGTTCCACGTTTCGTCCATTGGCACATACCGACGCAAGAAATCATGTTTATTGAGAGTAAACAGTGGCAACAGCTCTGTGAATCGTCGACTCATTGCTTTTGTTCCATAGTGAACACACGCGGCACCCATTTGGAAAACACTTTTTTCCTGCCCAACTTTTCATGTAAAATCAGACACGCACTTCCAGTTGATATGTTTACGATCTCCGTAATCTCACGAACTTTCACTCTGCGGTCATTTATCACAATTTTCAACACTTGTTTCATATTTTCGGGAGTGACTGCTTCATTTGTATTCGTGCGACCGAGCTTGAAATCGAAGAACGAAGTCAAGTTGATATTACGACACCATCTGTCGCTTAGTCCCAGGACTTATTGAACGATGTGTTACAATCAAATGCATTTGTATTTCCTAGCAATTTCCCCAACAAGAATTATCAGAAACTTAACAAGATTCGTTCCAAAACTAAACACATTTATTATGATGGATCAATGAAATCCTTTTTTTTTATGCAACATAACAAGAACAATGTCCAATCCAACAGTTGTTGTTTTTCTATGAAATTCTGCACTCTTTTAGTACAAGGTGATCTTTTTTAAAGTGACAGTGTTTGGAGCGTGATATAATAGCCGAAATGGCACCAAACGTGGTATTTAGACTCAGGATTCAGTGAAAAAAAATTTTAGTTCCAAAAATGGCCCCTAGGGCATTTTGTGGCGCTGCTGTAGCTTACAATAACGAGAATTAGCATAAAACATGGGTATAAAAAAAAATTGCAAATGTTGTGCGATGACAACGCCAGTAATAGGGGCGATAAAAGAAAGTAGTAGACAGCTTCGACAAATAATCTCAGGTGAAGTAAACGAGCTCCCGTGGACATGCCTCTCACGTTACCGGAATGTGCGCTACTGGTGAAGCTGTATTACATGAATCAATGTAATGCATTTGCAGCTCTTCGGGAATTTCGAGAAATGAAAAAATTACGAAAGGGGCCTTTATTGCTGAACAGTCTTAAGAAAATGATTAAGAAGTTTGAGGAAACATGATCACTGACCATTCGCACTGGGAGAGGACATAAACCAGTATCAGAATATGTAATAACTGATGTGGCAACTGCAATTGTCGAAGGATCGCAGGGAACCATTACTGGTAGTAGCAGCGCCCAGGGTTTGGCTCGACAATTGGACATGAATTATTCCACGGTATGGAGAGTTTGGCGGCGCGTTATTGGTTTTTACCCCTATAAAATCAGCTGCTTGCACGAACTGAAACCAAGTGATTATGATAAGCGAGTGACATTCGCTCTATCGTTTCTTGCCAGGGTAGAAATTGATGATGCTTTCTCATGGCACACTCTGTGGGGAGATGATTGCCATTTTTATCTCAATGGGTCCGTAAACAAACAAAAAAAATTTGGGTTTCCGAGCAGCCACAAACCATGCACAAAATCCCATTAAATTCCCCAAAAGTCACTGTTTGGTGTGGTTTCAAAGCCGAATTCGTAATCGGGCCATTCTTTTTTGAGATCATCACTTCGATAGGATCCCAAACGTGCAACATAAATGCAGAAAGGTACCACAAAATGCTGCAAAAACTTCACCAAAGAAACCGTCTCCAACACACAATCCTTATGCAGGATGGTGCTCCACCACACATTAGTAATAAGGTAAAGCAGCTGTTGTGCCAAAACTTCACTGATGATAGAATCATAAGTCGCAGTTTTATAGTTGCATGGCCGCCTCGTTCCCCTGACCTCTCGCCATGCAATTTTTGGCTCGGGGGTTATTTGAAATTTCAAGTTTATGTTGGTGGAATATCAAACTTGTCTATTCTAAAGTACCACACAACAAAGATAGTGTGAAATATTCCTCGTGACATGACATTCGGCTGTGGAGAACGTTGTGCACAGAATGCACAGTGCTCACATTGAATGTTATCCAATTCCTCGCCGAAGAAGTTAATGTAGTAAGTAAACATTAATAATTTAACTGTATGATTGTATGTCTTGATTAATCTAAATACCAAGTTTGGTGCCATTTCGGCTATTAGATCATGCTACAGGGCGCTCCAAACACTGTCACTAAAAAAAAACCACCCTGTACATTCCTCTTCTCACATGAGATCTGTTACATAACTACCGTTGTTTACAATAGAGATCCATCAGTTCATCTGGGATCAGCTTCTGACCATGTTCCTCTTTAGCGGCTTTAGAATTTTATCAACAAATGATGACAACCATCCATTAGCAAACTCTTCAAATTTATGTCCAAAACTTGGTATGCACTATCATACCAAGTTTTCCCTAAGCAGAAATAAAGATTCTAGTGAAAATAAAACTACAACCTTTATCAATGATTTCGAAGCTGTTCATGGTGCAGAAATGCTTCCCAGAACTTTTGAAAGCTAAGGTTTGTCCATGCTAACCTTTCAAGAAGGCTATAAGTATTACTGAACTGCACTGCTATATGATTTGCAATATTGAGCATTCAACGGGATTGAAGAGAATTGGCTGAATAACACATAAATCCTTTTGTCCAGATACTGCCAAGAGTTATTAATAAAATAATCATTATTAAATCATAAAATTAAAGAGTTTCACCTTCCTTACTGCATACCCTTGTTAAGTCCAGACACTGCCATGGAGTTATTAATAAAATTAACTATCATTATTAGTTTGTTGAGTTCACCAAAATTAAAGAGAATCTTCACCTTCCTTGCTGCAAATCAGCTTCGATTTGCAACAATGAATTAAGGGTTCAAATCCTTGCGACGACAGTCAATTTCTGCATTTCCTGCTCTAAAGTGATATACGAAGTTTTATAATTTTGAAGAATATTTTGCCCTTTCAAAAGTGAAACGACAAGTACATGTATCATGAAAACTTTTATTGAAAACACAAAATCAAGACATGTGTTTACAGCTTAAGCAAGCAATACACAAGCCTGACACGGCTTCCATAACATATACACATTGTATCAATGCAGAAGCTCAACTTAATTTAATATATAACTGTAATTCTGGATAGATAAGCTGTGTTTAAAAGTTGAAAATTTAGGTCTGCGGCATATCTGAAGTTTTACCTTTCGTCTTTGGAACTTTGCTAATTTCATTCGTGAATTATGCAGATGTATAAAAAGGTTAATGAATTCACTGACATTTTAGCCCGACACGAGCATTCAGGT